AATACAAATCAGTAAAGAAAACTTGACTTTTCATTTCCTATGAAAAAAAAATTACAGAAAAACATATATATTTGATGCTTAAGGTAGCTGTTTTTCAAGCTACCTTGGTTTGTGCATCAATTGATGACTAGTTTTATATTAGAAGATGGGTATATTATGAGGATTCGCTTTAACAGGAGAGTTTAAGGTTTCAATCTCACATCCGCATATTACGAGGATTGTATGTACGTAGAGAGTTAAACACATACTTATGAGATACTTTTTGTGACACAAAATTGTGAAACCTTTGAGTTAAAGCAGATAATTCCTTACTAATGGGAGGTGGGTCTTGACATTTCACGCAGCTGGTAAGCTGAAGGAATGTTGCAGCGGAATTGAGGGGCAAATCTTCATTGGCAGAAGGCACACTACAAAATTTAATATGCATCATAAGTCACAGCTGATGGATCCTGCCAGCTGGAGATTTTGTCCTGTAATGCAACTGCAGCTGAAAATTGAAGAGAGATGAACACCAGAGGCCTCTTGTTTATAGTTACCATATTTTCATTATAATGCCAAATGCTGCGCATATCCAACGTACAAACTTTTTCTTTTCTGATTGAAGGCTTTTCCATCAAATTATTCCTTATGCATGGCGTAGTGATAAATTTGCTATCATGAGGAAAAGTTTGAGAAAGTACGATTGCCTATCTAGTGAGTAGAATCGTTAAAAGAATAGAGACATAGAGTTAAGTTACCTCAAATTGGGTAATATATCAAGCAACTGATATAAAAAATTATTCCTTCAAAAATCATATTCGCTTTTATCTGATCAGTTTCCTCGTATAATAGTTTTTACTTGAAATAATCTTTGACAAAGATGTAAACATATGGAATCCAATTAATAAAATGAAAGAGAATTGGTTTATTATTTGTTTTTCGTCATAATAGGTCATAATGATTGTATTGCATGTAAGAGCATCAGTACTCAATTCTCTTAAGCGGTCCATGCACGGGATCTCCTTTTGAACATAGAAATTTGAACCTGAAACATACTAATTATTATTGAAGGTTTTGCTGTTATAATATTCATTGCGTCATGGGTACTGATTTGTGAAAGGAGAGGTTCAAACCAACAGCCGCCAATTCCTTTCAACTTCCAGGAATATGTAAAATTTATACATGCAAAAAAAAAAAAAAAACACGTGTGAGAGCAGGATTTAGATGCTTCAGGTACTCAACCTTTTTTTTTCAATTTTTTGTTCCTTGTTCCCCTTTCCTTTTTCATTGGTAATTCAAATCGCCAATTAACAGGACTGCTTATCTTCTCGTGCTGCTGTTCAACTGAATATAACGAGGATTTGAGCCATCTCATTACTTGCATTTACATTTCTTCAATGCTTCTGTGAGTTATACCTGGAGAGGGAGCAAAAGAATTTGTGTCAGAGTCACAAAAAGGTGACAACATATATATGAAGAAATAAGAGATATGGGTTTTGTGCATGAATGGAGTGTAATGTTTGAGCAAAAAATGCCATTGGAAATTAAAATAAAACAGATTGAAGGACAGAAAAAAAGAAGCATCGTCTTTGAATCTCAATGGACAACCAATTTATAAAGGGGTTTGCAGTTGTAGTGCAAAAGAATTGCCGAGCAAATCTCCTTTGGCAGATGGCACACTCACTACTACGTACATTAATGCGTGAGTTTGGATGCACGTCTGATGAGTGCCTGCCTGCCTGCCCGCCAATGGAGACGTTGCCCTGTAATGCAGTTGCACATGAAGTCGCCTTGTGTTTGCTACAGTGCCTTAATTCTTCCTTATTTATGCCCTCCTGGAAACAAGCATATTCAGTGGAACAATGCCTTGCTGTTGGACTTTGCTGCCTTTTTTGGGTGAATCACAGCCACTTGATTGTACATATGTTGAAATTCCATATATTTCCAGAATTTCGGTGAAAATTTATAGAGGAAAGGTCACCTGGACATGTAACCAAATATGCTCCCTTGTGCTTAATTCATCTATTTTAGAAATGAATAAATTTTCACAAAAGATAGAAAAAGGAAAGAGAATAAGCTGAAATGAATGCTTTGCTTTGGAATGGAAGATCCAAAGAATGTTCTCTATATTCTACTTGTGCTGTCCCTTTTGTAAGGCTACTGTCAACCGGCCAAAACAAATGGACCCTAAAGTTGATTTTATGCAGAAACTCGAGGCTGCAGTTCCAAAATGCTTAATTCTTTTTGTCCTCCATTGTCGATTCTTCCAGTACTCGTAACTGCAAACCTTCCTGATTCATCCTCTACTGACTTTCATTATTTGATAATAACGCAATATATCACATGTAATTATTGTACTACAGTTAATCACATAACTCTTCAAGTAAAGTGTTTTATCAAATTATTCTAATGGAGAAAGAAAGAGATTTTAAGCTTTGACAATGGCAAATAGTTCTTTCACGAGATGAAATTCTATTGCACTGGCAGTTTGGCACGCACTTCAGGAAGCCCAAAAAGTGGTTCAAGGCCAGATATAATAACACGATGAAGTAAATAGGACTTTAGGCAGAAAATCAAGCCCAAAATTTGAACCCACTTCAACAAACCCAAAAGATGATTTCTTAATTATGACACATTGAATGGAATGGTACTTTGGGCCAAAAATCAAGCCCAAAATAAGATCCAAGTCTTTATACACTGACATAATGATAATTGATATATGGATGTGTTTGATGTTCCATTGTTTTTGGGTTGTTCTAACTCCTAATCTAATCATATCATTGACACCACAATCAAAGAAACTTGGAATTTTCCTTTTTTTTTTTTTGCTGTTTCTAATTTGCATCTTGTCCTGTAATTACAGGAATATTGTAGAGACTGCTACAATGCAGGGGCAGGGCAATAGAGTAGTACTTCAGCTTTCTGACAAATTTCAGAGTTGAGATTCTTCATTTCCTAACAAAAGAACAGATTGGGTATCCCTAAAAGGCTTCTAATTCCCATTAATCTATGACAAACTTTAAGAAAAGGAGTTTTCATCTTAATCTCTACAGATGTACTTGCAAGACTCTTTTTATCACATTGGATATCAAAATAGTCCTAGAAATAGCTGCTCAAGGAATTCTTCAAATCCTAGAATGAACACAAAACAAGAATTATAGGTTTTTATCCCCTTGTTTTGGTTGAACAATCAAATGTAGTGCTTGCAAGCTCGATAGTTAGCTCATGTGACTCCTGATGCCCTGGACGAGAAGATATAAGGGAAAACAGCTTCAATATCTAGACAAAATTTTGGTAGAAATTGGATCCTCCTTTAACAAACTGAGAAGGAGATGTCAAGCAGAAATGGACAAAGAAAACTAACGGAAAGAAAGATGGGTTTAAAACATTGAAATATCAGAAAGATAAAGGGGCAGAAATGGACTCCTACTAGACTAGAGAATACACCAACAAACAAAAGCTAATAAGAGTGATTTAGGGAGGAAAGGGGATGCATTAATGCAAAGTTGTGGCTGCGTCCTTCTGCATATGGTTCTGAATAAATGACAGAATTTGAGAAGTGGACAAGTTCTTGTCATTGATAATAGGCAAAGTACCCTGTTATATACTTGGCCTTTAGAATTTTAAAGCTTATCCTCTCACTTTTCTTATTAAACTCGGAAAGGGAACAAGAATTCGCGGACATCCAGGTTATTTGGTGTCACAGTAGAATCTATATGACATATCATGCAATGTAAGAATCAAACTTTTGCATTGTACCCTTTTTTAGTCATTTATCAAAGATCTCTTGGCAGCAAGTCCTGGAGCAGTATAAGTTTCAAAATGAAGCGAATGCTAATTAAGGATTACGAGTCATGAAAATGAGGGGGGAAATGATAACAAAAGGGGAGAAAATGAACCGAAATGATGGAACTTTTGAATCTTCAAAGCAACAAAGGTGAAATAATTTTACTTCTGAGACGAATGGTTGGTGGAAGTACCTGAAACCCAGAATAGCGAGACAGCTGGACTTAACGAGGGGATATGATGAACCCCAGAAGAAGAAAGAACGATAAAGAATAAAACAGAAGTGAGAGTGTCAGAGCATGTGACCTACAAAGCCAAGACCAGGGCACTAGAAGGCAAAGGCAAAGGGCCTCGCTTGCGGGGGACAAAGAGAAAGAGGATATGACAAACATTAACTGACTCTGTGCCCTATGGTTTTATCGATTGCTTGATATTTCTGATTCTGACTGTGACCATCATACTCAATTCCAACATCCCTTCCCATGCAAATATTGCTAACTGAAACAGAGAATATAACAACCAAGCAATCCATTTTATCTATCATTTCAACTGATCCTTATTCCTTATCATTTTGGCATTTCTTGTTAGCTAGTGGTCCTGTTTCTCACATTTATCAATGGAGTAGTAGTATTATTTTGTCCGGAGGTTTCATGTTTTGGTATCTGTTCCTCCATACTTTATTATCATTTGATTAATCTAATCAAAGTGGAGAGGATATAAAATGGAATACCCTTAATTGTTACTGTCAATTAATGATTTTTTGTTTCTTATCATTTCTAAAGAACTGCAAAAAACTACTTCTAACCATTTCAGGATGCCATATGATCATATGCCTATTGGGCACTACATAATTAAGAAACTGTAATCATTCCAACAAAAAAGCCAAAATTCTGCAGCATAAACAAGTTCACAATTCCACAAACTATTCCCTTCAATGTTCCAGAAACAATGCCACATCAACTAAACTTAAGAACATCATGTTACCCGTTCCTATAATTGCCTTGCCTTTGCAAAGTACTCTCTCAGTCTCAACTACTCATCATTTTTGGATCCCAAGACATACTGATCTCTCTCCTTTAGCTACTCTTCCCTTTTCCCATCCTATAAAAGCTAGGCCACTATATTGAAAGTTTACTACTATTACTACTACACGTTTTCTACTATTACTACTACACGTTTTACATAAAAAGTGTTAGACAGAAAGGGAAGATCAGCGGACAGAAAAGAGAGAAGAGATGGTAACTAAGCTGCAACGAAGAACAACATTTCGCAGAAAGGTTCACCTTCTGCGAACTCTTTCCACCAACACCATATCTGTAATACAAACATTTGTTATCGGCTTTAGCCCCTTTTTTTGTCAAAACCAATCACTACGTTCTTTGATTGGATTCAAAGAACTTATCAGGTTCATGATGTTAATCCCTTTTTTTTTTTTTGAAGGTTAAAAGGAGTTCCATCATGTTAAAAGTTCTTCTCCATTTTTACAAGCTTAAAGTCAAGTTGGAAGAAATACAAAGAGAGTGCCAAAACCTTATGGCTATCAGAAATGAATACTTAACTCTATTGAAGCATATACAAATCCCAAAGGTATTCTCATGGTGACAATGTGTGTGTGTGTGTGTGTGTGTGTGTGTGTGTGTGTATAAAGCACATTTTTTTCAATTAATGTATGCATGGAATCTTAACAGGAAGTGAAGGTGGAGAAGATCGGAGAAGAGTTTGTAGTTAAAGTGACTTGCAACAAAGAAGGGGACAAGTTGGTCTCAATTCTAGAGGCGTTTGAAGAATTGGGTCTTAATGTTCATCAAGCTACAGTTTCTTGCAGCCATTTCTTTGCCATGGAAGCCATTGCTGTAGCTCGAGACCAACAAACTACTGATATCAAAGACATTACACAAGCTGTTCTCAAGGCCATTGAAAAGCAAGGAGGAGAGGGGATGCTTGTAACATAGAAGTTTCCGTTTTCATTAAAATTTTCTCATTTTCATTTTAATGCTATGGAAGATTTTGAAAATGAGATGATGTTTCAAGAATTCTAATGAGATTTTCGTTTTGTATCATCTTCTGAACTGTTCAAATGGCAAGAAAGAATTAACCACAAGAATTCCGTGGTTAGAAACTTAACAATGGAGGGTTAATTGGTAGATTAAAAAATAATTATACATCAAAAAGTTAAATGAAAGAGTAGAACATAAATAAATATATGGTTACATAAAAAATCTTCAAATATGAGCATGACTATTAGTACACAAATATCAAAACATTAAAAAAAAAAAAAAAAGAGAGCGTGAAGGAAAATTATTCAACCGTGCCATTAACAATATTGTGAATAAAATAATACTTTAGTTTGATATTATTAACATATACAGTAATCAAAATGGATAATATGAAATCATAAAACCCAATTCTATGTTTCTTGTAAAGTTCATATATTAAACTCCTTTCATGAAAGAAAATCTTTAACTTCATTTTAAAGGTTCATTTAGTTAATTAATAAAAAATAATTCCAACTTAATGAATAATATGAAATGATAAAATGAAATATATATATATATATATATATTTCTTGCAATATATAAATCCAATACAAATCTTTCTTGCAATTAAGCCCACACCCAATGCAAACTTTTCTTGTAAAATCCATATGGGAAACACTTTCACCAAATCACTCAACCATCCAATAAGTGTGTTAAACCAGCCCAACCCATCAACCTTTCCTCAACTCAGCACAATCAAGCCTATCAAATTTCACATATCATAAAAAAATTTTAAAAATAAAATTTAAATATATAAAAAAAAAGTAAAAATATAAATTTTCAAAATAAAAAATAAAAATGAAATGAGAGAAGCACTGCTAAATTAATAAATTATTATATTTTAATTTGCAAGAGAATTGAATATAGCCGATAAGAATTGGCCCCATTTTTTTTTTTTTTAAGAAGTCTAAAAAGTTATATAAAGTGAAAGTCTACATTAGATGTTGTAAGCATCTTGACCGTCCATTATTATATTGATTGCATGATTTTAGCCGGCGAGGATGATGAAAATTGTGTGATAATTTTGATTTTTCATTATATACTATGATGCTGCATATGACATCATAATATATTACTAAGTAACAATAGTAATAAAATTAACTATCACAATAGTAACAATTATCATCCAATCTTACATAATTATGTTATTGATAAATACTTTTAACAATACTTTGTTTAATTCACATGATTTTCTTTCCCCGACAAATTAGGTCATGATTTGTCAAAGACTAAAATTAATGTTGGAAAACAAGGTGAAATGCAATTTTAATTATATTTAACAAATAATAATGTGATTGAATTTTTTAATTTTAATATTCAAATTTTAATTTTTAATAATTTTAAATAAAAAATAATTATTTTACATCAAAATGTGTATATATATATATATTTTTTTTTTGTAAAAAAAATTTGAAGATAGATAAATTGTTCAGTCTCTTAAGTAAGGGTAATATATGCAGTACCTGACAACTTAAAACAGATAATTATAAATTGTATATTTGAGATGACCTCAATAAATAATCACCGATAAATATATATGTATTTAATGGTACAACTACTGCGATAGAACAAGTTGTTGTCCTGGTGGAAGAAATTTCTGTTAGCCCAATGCAACGGTGTTAATAAAGGAGTTTTAATATATATCTGTCAATTAATATTTAATAATAATTAATTAAGGAGAAAAAAAATCAAGTAAATATTAGTAAATGAAGACAAGAGTGAGAGAATTAAGACAAGGCCAAAGTTGATGAAGTCACCATCATTGAATTATGCTATTATCATTGAATAATTAAGCAAAATGGATAAGTTTGTCCTCAATTGTTATGAAAAGACCGTGTGAACTGAATCAAAGTGGTTCCTTTGTCGTTGTTTTGTTTTGTTTTTTTCCTTGTGTGTTTTGTGGGTTTGATTTAGGAAAGATAGTTGGTCTGTTTAATTAGGAGCCCCAAAATACAACAGATTCTTGTTTCTTGAAGTACTAGCACGATTAATGGATGTCAAGCAACTATTAAATTATAAATCTACCAATTTTAGTTTTCTTTTTTCCTTGGTTTTGATTAAAAAAATCAGCAAATTTAACCCAAGTAACTTCCCAAAAGTTCATTTTTATCCTTATTAATCATCTATACATACAGCTCATACCTACAATACTTATTTTTTAAAAAACACATTATACTAAAAATTAATATTTGATATATTATTAATGTATAAATTTTATATACTAATAAATTTATAAAATAATAATGCTAAACATAAATTCTTACAATAATTACACAAAAAAATTATTAAATATATTGATAATAAAATTTTTTAACTCTATAACTGTGTCTTTTATATATTTTAAAAAAATTAATTTAAAAAGTAAATAAAACATTTATTATTATGTTAATTTCGTTTATAAAATTAAAAAATTTTACTATTTTTCTTACGGAAACGCCCTCATTTATAATTTAGTTTTTTTTTTCTCAAAAACTTATATTAATTAATTAAAAAAAGGGCGAACAGTAAGGATTGAGGAACGAGGGGGGTGTAACCTGGCATGTATCCCATGTAATAAATGAAGATGAACAGTGAGAAAGCTGTAATCAGTGTGCTTTGATTAATATATCTAATAATTAAAAAACGAAGATATGATATAAAAATGAAAACATAAATAATATGGGAGGTCATTTTCAAGTTGCATTTTAATAAAGTCTAGGATTTACATCACATTTGCTAAACCAATCTGTCAACATGCCGCCCACCACCCCTCCCCCTATTTTTAAAAGGACCACCCTTCTTCTTGTTTCTTCTTCTTCTTCGACCTAACCCCTTTTCTCTCTCTCTCTCTCTCTTTCTACGGCCACCACAAAACTAAATCTGATCATCAAGATCTAATCATCAATCATGAACGGTGGTAGTAGTTTCAGCAAAGCAAGTAACCCTTTTGTTACCGAACAACAATTAGAAGACAACGACAGCGACAACGTTTCATCAGAAACCGGCGCCGAATCTCCTCCTTCTACCACTTTCAACGACATGAAACTTGCTTCTCCTAAAAAAGGGTAATTTTTTCCTATTTCTTTTCTTTTTCAAAGTACTGTAAAATTCTATTAAGTTCGTATTTTGCATTTTGTTTTTTCTTTTCACGTAATGGGTTTTGTTACAGTAAAAAATCCGTACACAAAAGAGTGGTGTCAGTGCCAATCAAGGACGTTGAAGGTTCCCGCCTTAAAGGTGAGACTGCTCCACCGTCCGATTCTTGGGCTTGGCGAAAGTACGGCCAAAAACCCATCAAGGGCTCTCCTTACCCCAGGTAACTAAATTAACTAACTGGCAGTAAATTTATCCAATGTTTCTCTGCATCGAGGCGTAAATTTCTAAGTTTAGGATTCCTATAATCATCACCGTTGATCAACGTTTCTGTTTTGATCATTCGTCCGGCAGAGGCTATTACCGGTGTAGTAGCTCAAAGGGATGTCCAGCAAAGAAGCAAGTTGAGAGGAGCCATGTGGACCCTACAACGTTAGTGATCACGTACTCCTGCGACCACAATCACCCTTGGCCGGCTTCTAGAAACAACACCTCCTCCGTTAAGCAAGCTTCGGCGGCGGCGGCAGCATTTGCGGTGAAGCCCGAGCTATCTACATCTCACCCGGACACGGAACCGGAATCACGAACCGAAGAGAGGTTCACGGATCTGACGGACGACTCGATTCTGACAACGGGGAATGAATTTGCTTGGTTCGGAGAGATTGATACAACGTCGATGACGGTTTTGGAGAGCCCGATATTTGCGGAAAGGGACAGTAGTGTAGCTGACGTGGCGACGATTTTCCCGATGAGGGAAGAGGACGAGTCGTTATTCGCCGATCTGGGCGAGTTGCCCGAGTGCTCGTTTGTGTTTAGGCACCAACGGAATGTGGGACCACAGGTGGAGATCTTCTGACACGTGGCTAATCAGCAATTCGTAAGTGGCAGAGGAGTCGTTGGTTTCAACATCGTGTGGTGCGTATAGAGTGGCACAAGATATTAAATTCCTAACGGAGAAAAATGAAAGGGAAAACGAAATTTTTAATTAAAAAAAATTTCTTACATTACATTCCCTTTTCACAGTTAAATTTGCCTTGATTTCGGTGTAGTAAATGAATAAAATTCAGAATTCCAAACTCTGCTGTTATCTTGTTGTGGCTACTAACATTTGCCGTTTGCTTAAGGGACTTGATTGAATAGAAACAATTTTAACCAAACTCACAACAATATTTTCTGATTCTCAAATTTGACCTTAATTTGATGAAAATGATGTTAGTAGCCGTTTTAGACTTTTATGTTAGGGTAAATTCCACCTAAATCTTTAAATTTTAAATATTATTTAACTCATGTTTATTAGTTTAAAAAGTACACATTTCACTTCAAACTTTTAAATTCGTAGGACAAAAAGATTTTTTGTTAGTTATTTCTTAATTATTTTATTAATAATTTTATTAAAAGAATTTTTATTTTTGAAAATTTTATATCCTTAAATATTCACATAAAATAATAATTTTTAATAATAAATTTTTTAATTTTTTCTTAAAATATATTACTAATATATAAATAAATTTTTAGATGTAATATATAAAAATAAAATTTATAATTATAAATATGTTAATATCTAAATATGTAAAATAATATGGAATATGTTGAACTTATAACAAAATTTTGACATAGAACAAATTAAAAAAAAAAAAGGAACATGTAGCATATAATAAGAAAAAATATTTGGTTGGAAAAAAAAATTTTGGTTAAAATTGTTACATGCAAAAATATATTCATTTTGTTTATATATATATATATATTTATATATTAACATATTTATAATTGTAAGCTTTGTTTGTATAGGTTATATTTAACAAATCTTTTTATATTATTAATATATTTTATATATCTTGAGAAAAAAATAAAAATAATTTATTATTATAAAATATTACTTTATATAAGTATTTAAAGATATCGATTTTTTATAAGTAAAATAATATTTTAATGAGAGCATTAACGAAATAATTAAAAAATAATTGACATAAAGATCTCTTTATCCTATTAATTAAAAAATTCAAGATGTAATATCAATTTTTTAAATTAATGAATTTAAATTAAATTATATTTATATTAAAATTTAATTTCAATCATTTTATACATATTTATATATCCGTATAAAATTATTTATATATCAAATTTAAAATTTATTTCAATTAATTTATATAATTTTTATATCTTCATATCATGAAATTTTTTATTAAAAAATTATTATATATACTTGATTTGTCGATTGGTGCATGAACGCAACTCATTCTGGTTTTTTTTTTTTTTTTGGCAAATTGCTTTAGATTTAGAAGCTCGAATTGTACACAGCAGCCTGCAATTTGGCACCCGCCAAGGACAATTGGATAGTCATGACTTTGGCAAAAGAAATTGAATGTTAGAAGATTCTTTTATTTTTTTGTTGGATGAAAGTTCAGCCGGCCATAGCATTTAAACTCAAATCAACTGAAGAACTTTGACTTTTAGGTGATCGTATGGCTGTAAAATTTGTTCCACCCATTGTTTTATAATTTTTTTTTTGGTTCTTATTATCCATTCAAACATCATTTGTTCACACACATCAGAGAGATCCACATGGCTTTAGATAAGCTAATCTTTGCTGCTCTGTTAAGCTTTTCCCCAGCTAAGCCAAGGAAAGGAAATTACAATATTATACTAATACTTTAAAAAAAATACCAATATAAGGAGTAGTTGAGGCCGAGAAGAGTGATTGAGGGACCCAAGTTGATATTAAAAATCAAACATTTTAATTGTTTTTAATTGGTTAATAATTACGATTAAGTCAAATTTCGAATAAGATTTATAAAATCCGTAAGCAGTGGTTGTTATATATGAATTATTTTAGTAGATTAAGCCTTGATTTGCATCTCATTATCTTGTACGGTTATACAAAAGGTCAGGGTCACTTCTATAATGATCAATGCAATCGTTAATATACTTAGATTTATAATTATGTGATTTAATGATAAAATATTAAAATTTTAATTTTAGATTTTTAATTTGAATAATTTAAATTTATTAAAAAATATTATTTATAATTTAAATTTGATTGATATTTATTCGATAGTAAAAATTTTATTAATATTTTTATTAAAAATATTTATCAAAAAATATTTATTAAATTTTTTTAAATTTTACATACTTAATATATGTAACAAAAAATTTTAATTTTAATTTTTATTTAATCATTTTTAATAAAAAATTTCGTATAAATCTTTTTAGAAATTACATGATTTTGATCATGATAAACTCATGCAATCTAAAAAACAACTTTTGGAGAGAAGGATAATGACAAGATTCTTCTTCATTTTAAAGTGAGTTCAGATTTTTTTTTTTTTTTTCAAATTGCTATCCTTACCATCATTCATTGATTTTGAATCTGTCTGAGAATGGAAGAGAAGAGACTACTACAGATAGTGATTCCAACAAAAGAGCCCAGGACAACTGGCTCTCAGCAAACAGATTTTCTAAGCAACTATTTAAATGCGTTCAGTGTAATACCCTGTTCCTCAAACGCCTCGTCTGCTAAAAATTACAGCCATGAGGAAAAATTTTGTATGTAAATTAATCAATCTCCGGCCATATCCTACTGTAGGTATCTTTCCAGTGAATTTTACAAAACCAGAGTTTACAAAGAAATAGATGCTGCAGAACAAACCCAGGCAGCATCCCTTGAACAATCAGGCTTCAGATTAACAACATCCTAGCTTGAGCAGCAGCCCCCTCTCCTCATAGCAGAGACATCTTTACTGACATCAATTTTCTCGCCCTTGGAGGGAACGGCTGAAGCAGACCCTTCATCACCTGTCTCCATGGCCTTCTTGCTCACAATATGGTAGATCTGAGTAAGAACTTCAGCAAATGCTTTTTCAACATTTGTAGCTTCCAGAGCAGAAGTTTCCATGAAGTAGAGGGACTCTTTCTCAGCAAAGGATTTCCCATCCTCGGTTGAGACAGCCACAAGGTGACGAAGATCTGATTTGTTACCAATGAGCATGACTACAATGTTGGGATCCGTGTGATCCCTCAACTCTCTTAACCACCTCCCGACATTTTCAAACGTGGAGTGTCGAGTAACATCATACACAAGAAGTGCACCAACAGCTCCTCGGTAATAGGCACTTGTTATGGCACGATACCTATCAGCGTAAAAGAAGTTCAGAAAACAATATAAAAGAACTAGGAGAGCATGGAACAGAAGAATTCTGCAAGTAACAATGTCAGATCTGGAATTAAAACTAATTTATCGATAACTCTCACTACAGTACAAAATAACCATGCTTTAAATACAAAGAGAAAGTAAAATCACAATCAATCCAGCCATTTAACAACCTCATCATCCCTTATTACACTCTATAACCATTGTCCCTAAAACATCAAGGGTTTGAAATCAAAGTTCAATCATGCATCTGTTTCCTATGATACTAAAACTACATTATTCCAGCTATTAATCCATGATGTAAAAGCAATTCCATCAATCGACCATTATCTGAATCCAAACTATGTAGGGACTAGAGATTATACACCTCAGCTTAAACACTTTCAAAATGGGATGTTTTCATTGCTCTTCTGGACCAATCCTCACCTCTTCCAACCCTTTCTTTCTGGCAGTCCAAGAAAAAGGATGAAGCCTTACATTTTGTATTTTAAATAAACAAACCACCTTAGAAAACATATTATAACTTAGTAGCCTTACACACTACTAGAACAGGGAAATCAAACCATACCCAGGCCATGACACAGCAGCCCGTAACAACAACAGCAACATTAGAGATATAACAATTTACCAATTTACTGAAGCACTACTCTTTCCCTGTAACATTCTGAGCAGTCAAACCACAAAACGACTAATAGGTCCTTCTGACAAACTAACATCTATTTACTTGTTCATGCCATTTCTTCCATTCCCAATTTACCAAACAGTAGCTACAAGGTCCCACAAGTCAGCAATCATCATCTCTTTGGGACTACGCATTACAAAATTAGGAAGCACGCAAGCAATGAAGACAACGGATGATGGTTTTGACCGGTGATGAGGCAGTGCCGCTTATCAGTTTCTCTTAATCCAACTTCAATTTCTCTTAACCCAACTTGTAATAGAGCTCACAAATCGTAATGCAATTTAGCTCTAACATGAAGTCAAAACCATATCTCATATCTAGCAGGAAGCAAACATTAAAGCATGACCACTTTGTTTCTTACTCATTGTCAAGCCAGATAACAGCTGCAACACGGCTCACACAACAAGATTAAAAGATGCAGAAGCAACAAGATCTGGTGATCCACACTTCAAATCTATGTTCAAACTATTGATAACCCAAGCCTATTGGGAAAACAAACTAAACCTAAATAACAGATTTCTATCAAAACAAGCAACCAGAGCTCCATATACGCACAAGCTGCTAACAGATCTAGATATGCAAGAAACTTCCTTTTTCTAACATACAAGTGAAAAAAATTTTCTTAAATCTGATTTTAGATCAAATCAAACTCTTCCAGAATCAAAGTTGCTCTCTTTTCCCAAGCAGCCAAGAGCACAATCTCCAAAAAGAACAAAAACCGAATTCCCTTATGGTATTTGCTCATCTTTTGTAGCAAAATCAAAAGAAAACTAAAAATACCGAGAAAAAAAAAAACGAAGACAAGATAATAGTAAAAGTGAGACCTTTCTTGACCAGCAGTGTCCCAAATCTGCGCCTTGATGACCTTGCCATCAACATTCAAGCTACGCGTAGCGAATTCAACGCCAATAGTGGACTTGGACTCGAGGTTAAACTCGTTCCTGGTGAATCTTGAGAGCAAATTTGACTTTCCCACTCCTGAATCTCCGATCAACACCACCTTGAAAAGGTAGTCATAGTCATCCTCTGGTCTGTAACTGTAACCAGCCATCTTTCACTCTACCCAAAACCACAACTGTTCCACTCTTCACCTCCTTTTTCTTTGTTTCAAGCAAATATGAAAAAGCGACTGCGTGTGCTAGAGGGCGTTGGTTTCAAGTTTTTTCAAGCTTTTTTCTTTAAGATCTCTCTCTAGAAAAAGGTATTCTTGGGTGTTTTTTTAACCTTATTTTATTTTGACGGGTTGGAAATGTAAAAGACTGCTGTCTGCTCGATTGGACTCCATAGTGGAAATTAGAGGAAGTGGGGGTACGTCCTTTTCAACAGTTGGGGCCTGATTCTATGGTTTTGGCCCTTCTGGGTTTCTTCAGGAACTTGAAATGACTTCAATGCCTTCCAAATATTCCTCTTTATAATGTCTTTAGCTGTTAAAAGATGAGGTTGTATTTAGCGGATGTCATACAGTCTTTTGAAGTGGGTGGAAGGTGTTAATTATAGGACACCATTTGTTTGTTTTTAGGTATTTTCTTTCAGAGGAAGGGAACCTTCAATCTGAAGGCTTCAAATGACTTACTTCAATGCTGGTGATGAGATCTTTGTTGTGCTTTGGTTTAGGGTTTAAATGGGGTTGGTGACTGATTGCTGTTGAAGAAGTGGTTACTTGCCAGGTTTAAGGATATGATTCTTGTTAGGACTTAGGATACCGTTAATTGTGCTGTTTCTTTTTTGTTGTTTTTTTATGTTCTTGATTTTGTTATTAAAAAACAAAAGGGCATGCAAACTAATTTCTTATTTCATAATAAAATATTAGTATAGTGTATAATTTAATTTAATGATATAATTGATCGAGTTTAAGTTGATACAGTATTAAATTTAAATTCAATCGAATTTTATTTTTTTAATTTGAGCTTAAATTCAATTTGAAATAGAAATCGAGTTATACAAACCCATTCAATCAAGTTCAATTAATATATAAAAATAAATTTGATTCTTATATTCGATAAAAACTCGATTATTTATATTCGAGCTTAAATTCAAGATAATTTATTAATTAAAATATTTAAAATATATTAAAATATAAAAATTTAATTAAACTCATAAATTATTCGATTTTAATATAAAAATATTTAAATTCGATTTGATCGATTAATCAAATTATTTAACCTCGATTTAATCAATAAATCGAACTACTCAATCTCGAATCAATAATAATTAGATCGAATTTAAATTTTATTCGAATTAAATTTTTGTAATTTATAAATATTAATATATCATTTATTCTTCTAGTTTAATTCATATAAATGAAATTATTTAAAACATTTAGTCAATTTTGAGTTGAAAAATAGAAAAAAAAAAGAAAGAAACAAATGAGTTTGAATTTCAAATGTACTCCCTCGACTAAGTCCCTAAAAGGTAAAAATAGGCTATATAAGATTACAATCTGATCATAAAAAATTACAATTAGTGATATTTAAATTTTAAATATGTGGGATTTTAAACTCTGAATTCAAAATTCATAACTTTAATTGAGAGCAAGTGGAGGGGAAAATGACGGTTGATTTTTCATGGGTTATGTTCTTTGTCCTTGTATTCAATTATGGAGCAACTATTCATTCCAAGTACTTTCATCATCACATTCTTCATTTCCTTTCCTAAAAGGAGGACCACGTTTTTTTCCTTGTTCATTTATTTATTTATCATCACAAAAAAAAGGGGTAGGATAAGAGTGAATGCCATGGCAACTGGCACAACATTTGGTCAAATACGCAAAGTTAAGATTTTCATATTGGATTGGAGGAATTAATTTAGTATGAATCCAATTTAGCCCAATCCAGCTGTTTCATTAGATTTTGTTGATTTGGTATACAAGTTAGAGGCATGTGAAACTGAATCAAATCTGATAGCTACAAGAATATTCAAGTAGTTTTATCAAAACTCAGATGATACTAAATCTTGACTCACGTGACTTTCCCCTTTTTAATATTCAGATTTTATCTCCCAGGTGGGAAATGAAATTTCTTGCCATTACTGGGTAATAAGGCCTGACCTTGTAGTATTTAGCTAGTTTGACCCAGCTCATGGCCTACCTTGGTCCCTAAACTCAGGCCTCCATGCTTTCCACTTTACCAGGCAAGGGATCTAGCACCAGGGCTTACCTGGGTCTCCTCCAGACCATTCACTTTGGCTTGGGCCTTGATCTTGCACACAACCAACTCAAACTTTAACTTGCAAATTTGCAGTAAGTTGGTTATCAAGCCGAGGATGACATTTTTTGATGATATTAAAGTGTCCAAACCTGTCTTACAGTGATGACTTGACATAAAGGACATAGCAAATGTCGGATTACTGGTCTTAGTGAAGGTCAGTCCTACGATTTCTTCAATATGATCACCTTGATTTGTAGTACGGTCCGTAGTTATTATTGGTTTCATGACAGATAGCTGGCCACTGTCCCCATAAAAAATTGTTAAAACCCCTTCCCTTGCATTGTATTGTAGTCATGATTCAGAATTGGCACATGGTGGTTTTGGGAACAATTATGACTAGAAAAATTGCCAACAAATACGGAAAAGCAAATTATTTTGGAGTTTCGATTCTATTTGGTCTTCATTGGGTTTTGAATCAAATTCGATTATTGGGTAGATAAATTGCTTGATAGATAGGGAAAGAATGGCTTATGACAAGAAAGAAGAACAATCTCCCCCGTTAGAGCTTGGAGAGAAATGGATTGAAACTTGAATATGAGACAGTGGGAAAAAATCCGAGAACATGACAGGGAACTAATTTATTTGAGTTGAGCATGAATCTGACATTGCTTTGGGTAGTTTTCTTTTTTACGGAAATTTGATCTTTGCATTCATCACTGTCACAATAGACAAAAATCCTAACATAATTCAAGAGTTTGAGCCAGGTGAAGGTGTCATTATTGTTGTCAATGTTATCTTTGTTGGAACAAAAAGTGATCCTCCAGCCCATACATTACAGGAAAAAATAATGGTTGATACTTTGCCTGTGTTCTCTGCCCCACAATGTTGAATGCATAAGGCCTCCTTGAAAAGAATCTCAACCAGTTCAGCATCCAATGAATTGAAATTATGGCCACCAGGAAACATTATCCAAACCTATGGAAAGGGCAAAGCCCTATTGCTTCCTGCTTTCCATTGTAGCCTGCACCAAAAATACCGTTTCTGGTAAAACGTAAAACTTGATCTTTACGATTTCAGAAGGTTGGAAAAATGGAAATCATAAAGCTTCCTTTAAATTCCAAAAAGACTTTCCATTTTTCGTCGTTTGCTTTGCAACAATAGAATTTCCCTATGTCGGTCTCGCAGCATGATCAGAATTAATTCTGGTTCAAAACTGCAGTCGCCTGTGCTTCAACTTAATGATCATTGTTGGAGTAATTTCTTTAGCAACAAAGTCATCATTGTGACATTTTACTTCTTAATTTCCGGAGTGATAATGATCCTATATCATATAGGAACATGGATATAGCAAATACCTACAAGGTTTAGTCTAGTTAGTAAAAAGTTAAAATTTTAAATCTAAATTTAGTTCAATTATTATATACGATTATTTTTTAAAATATATCATATAACAAATTTAAATTCAAATTTTATAACTTATAATTTTTTTTTATGTTCTCGTTTTGCAGTCTTCTTTTGTAAAAAATAACATGAATATAGCAGATCGTACTAGAGTCGGTGGTCTCTCCCATCTTTCATGTTCAATTATAAGGGTACCCAAATTAATCAAATGAACCTACTTGATTAAAATCACATTTTCGGAAGGATTTGCTGACCAACCATGGATTTACAGTGAACAAGATAGGAGGGTCCACGAAAAGAATATATCCCTTCAGTCAAACCAAACAAAATTGCAAATGTACAAAATAAGCTTTCCATGGCTCAAATAATTGCTTAGCCAAAACTAGTGCAGGTTCCTCTAAACTTGGCTCCGGAATTTCAAACCCCAGAGATATAAACCTTTGGTTATTCCACCCATGACCTCTCTATGATTGCAGACAGCCATACATGTTTTTATCAAAGTTCCCACTTCTTCCCCAACTCCAGCCTTCTAAAAATGTTGTCTCCTTCTCAGTACCTTCATCAATCCCAAGCTTATCATAATTATCATTATCTTGCTGTTCTTTTTTTGGAGGTTTTTTTGTACTGATTTCTATTTTATCAATGTCAAACTCTGAAGTCATTTCATATTCACCTTCTAATTTGCCTGAGACATTTCCTGTTAAGGTTCAAATGGTTTCTAAATCTGTCTCCGACCGCCTCCTTGAGAAGTTTTTTGATGTATCTGAATACAACTTTGATTATGAGAAGAGTGGACTCTGGTCTCCCCCAGTTCGAAGAAGTGCCTTTTTAAGCTCCCCTGGTCGAATATTCACTGAACAAGAAATGCTTGAAAGGCTCAAAAGTGTAATGGACAGACGTTGTAGTAGAAGACATAATATTTGTTTCAACGTATGTCTCTGTACTTTTCCCCTTCTTTAATTATGATTGAATTCATTTCTGTTTCATTGATATTTCATGTCAAGAACCGAAATTCAACTAAGTTCAGCTTCAATTCTAGTCCTGTTGAGGATTGCTGATGAATCTTTTAAACTTTTTTTCGCAGGCGTTTTGTTGCTCCTGTAGGAAACATGGTACAGTGAAGGCTTGCTTAACAACGAAATGGAGAAACACAGAAAAGAAAGTAACAAGAAGAAACCAATAGTACTTGCCTCTCCTTCCTTTAATTAAATGTTGTAGTTTTCCTGTAGAATTACACAGTGAACAGTGTACATTTGCAATTCCACCTTTTCTTCTGGTACTTTTCTTGGGAGTGTTTGTTTTATTGGAAATTAATCAAACCCAGCTTTCTCAGAAGATTCAATATCTTCCAAGCTTGCAGCTCCCAAGGTTAAACTTAACAACCCATTAGAATCTTTTCAGCAAGAGCTTCTAATATTTCATCCAATACCAAAATCACCTAATAGGGTCTCAAGCTCAAAAGTAGTGTTGCATCAGATTAGAATTTATGTAACTAAATTAGATACTGATTTTATTATAAGCCATTACTGTTAGTTTTCTGAGATGCATTAATCTACCAAGGCTGTCAGCTTTGACTCAACAACAATGGCAATTCCAGCAACTTCATAAGTATTTGCATTATTGTGCTTTTGCATGAACTTTAAATTGAAATTAGAGTTGAATATTTACATTGTACACTTCAAACAAAGCATTATTATCAGTCATTCTGGTTAATCCTGCAGGAAGAGTTATTTTACTGAGGACAGTATTTGGAATGGAATGAAAAAGATGCCAAATTGGAATCACATGCTAATCATGTGCTCATCAGCTTTAGATAGGCAACCAATCCCCAAAAACACAACTCATTCCATTGCAGACAAAACTTTTGTGGGGTCCTGCAACTGTAAAGTATGCATGCAATCACAAAGAGAATAAATTTGAATGGCCAGCCTGCACTTTAGCTGCTCTCACCATGCAGACAGCCAAAGAAATTTGTTTTTCTTCAACAATCTAATCTGTCTAAACATTGAATCAAGTGAACCTTCCAAAGCCAAGCTGGTCCTCTACTGTTCTGCTTCGTACAAGACCAATTTTTTTTTTTCAGTAAAATGTTGTAACCTTTCGATCTTCAATCCTTGTTTTGGGATAACAAAAAAAACAAAAAAAAGGAAAAAGTGAGGTGAAGGGAGTTGAAAAGGAAAGGTATTGAGAAAAGAAGAGGAATCACAATTGTACTTTTACTGTTCTCATCAAACTGTGAGCATCATCAAGTCCCAAGTAGCAGTGGACGTACAAGATTGAAAAATGTACTGTTTATGACCATAGGGAGGCAGTGGGCCCCTAATGACGTGCCCCAATGAACATGTCCTTTTTATCCTTTTTCTTTAATTGTATTTTCCCTTTGATTTCTCCTGTGATAGTTCATGGAGAAACCCGCATATATTTATAAATGAAAATTTATAAACACAACAATGCTAACAGAGATAAATGCATGCATTAATGATGGTTCACTTGCCTGATACTGAGAATGGAGAAAGAAGATGATGTTGATACAACTTTCCAGTCCAGTTAAAAAACAAAAGATATGCGTTTGCCGGGAGTCGAACCCGGGTCTATTGCTTGGAAGGCAATTATCCTAACCGTTGGACTACAAACGCTTGGTGTCTAAGGTGGAAGAAATTTCAAAACTGGCAAGTTACAGCCAGTCTATTTAGGTTCACAAGAGGAGATTTAATCTTGAAAGCGATACTTCCATGGTCCATAACTACTAATTCGAAAGTGATTAGATCAAGCCTTGTTTCCTTTTAGGCCTAGAGCCTAACTATACCCATTTTTCCAACACTAAACTCCTTCTCAGTTTTCCAACCCACAATGTTTTTCCTGGCCCAAAAGAATTGCTACTATAATGTTTTTGCTTTCATGACGTCCCAATGCCATGTGAAGTTGCAAGACCAAAGAAGAACTAAAGCCTAAATTGGGAAGAGAAAGGAGGAGGCAAAGAATGATTCATATTGGTGTATAAGGTCATGAAGTTGGATTAAAACAGCTAAGAGGTGATGATGGTGGGAAAGAAGTATGTTCTATTCGCTAGTCTGAAAATGAATTTGATATGGTATAAACAGCTTAGCAGGGCTTGTCATTTTTCTAATCCACTTTTGACAAATTCTCATTCAATCAATTAAAAAAAATATCTCCATAAATACTAATTTCTATATATAGTAAACAAGAACAAATCTTTCAACATTCCAATTTTTTTATAATTTTGATGGGCAAGTATGAAATTTGCAACACTTTTCATGATCAATTACATTTGTCTTTTAACTTGAGATTTAGTTTAATTTATTCATACAATTATCTATAACATCTGCAATTCTTTTTTTTATTCCCAAATTGAAGCCTCTAAATCAATAAAAAAAAAGGATTCAATCGCTAGGTTTGCCTGATTATTGGTATTCACGTAAATCACTTATCAAATAATCAAAGCATATAGAAATATTTAAAAAAATACTCTCCAAAGTCAATTGAAGAATTTTTTTTTTTTTTAATAATGGTAATATGATCTTTAGGCACAAATATAATTAAGTCAAGTTGAGTTGACATAGTAAGAAATTTAAGTTCAACTTTGACTTGATACTCGTTGTTCAAAAGAGTTTTGTCAAATTTAATTTCAAATTTAAATTTAATTTAAAATAATAATTAAACTATTTAAATTTATTTAATAAAAAATAAGATTGATTTTTATATTTAATTTTAAGTACAATTATGTTTAAATTCAAATTTAAACTCGAAATTAATATATATAAAAATAAAATAATAAAATTTATTAAAATTTAAAATTTTAATTAAATTTATGAATTAATCAAATTAAATATAAAATTATTCGAATTTAATTCATTCAATAAATTAAATTATTCAAATTAAATTTGATAATGATTAAACTAAATTTGAATTTTATTTAATTCGGAGCACGAGTGATACACCCCTGCGCACAAGGTAATGTCCCTGACTCTGTTCTTAGAAAAATTTTCTGAGGTGTAGTGAGACAAAGGAGAATTGATTGCACTGTCGGCCAACTGCAACGGATAGTAGTTGTCGCCTGGCAGACACCTGAGTCGTTGACATGGGTGAATGCTTCAGGGACCCTTTCGTACACATCATGCCCTGCAAACATCTTTCTTTTTATTAATGTTACAAAACATTTTATATATGCCGACAGGTTTAGCTACATTTTAACACGAATTTTTTGTGGGTTTTTTTTTTTCTTTGTTACTTTCCTGGTTTGCTTTAACTTACTCATCGTGTTGGCAATTCAGAACCATATTTCTCTTCCTTTTTCTTTCTATGTATTGTTTAAGTCAACAATGAATGTCGACAATTTGTTTGTATTCATCTAAAAGGAAGGGTACTTGTCAAATATGGTAAGTGAGAGAAGCTTACTTGAGCCATGGTTTCTATGATCTTTCCTTTGAATTTTGATGCAATTTTTTTGTTTTTATATGGAGTAAAAAAGTTTAAAGGAATTCAAAAGTTGAAATCTTCAAAATGTTGTTATAGTTGTAATCCAATTTATTGGTAAAAGAATTAAAAGTAAAGAAAGTAAAATCTAATGCTCCAATGAAATACATGCTAATTGCTAAACGATCTCTTCATGCATGATTCATTGAAAGAAAAAAAATCAGACCCATCAACCATTTTGCCATTAAAAATCATTTAATCCACATTCATGTTTATAATTAATGGTTGAAGGGACTCTTTGTTGAGAGTTGTTGTTGACTTTCTCAGTACAAAACAAAATCATCTTTCAAAGCTAAATATAATGAGAGGCCATTTGGTGCTAAACGCGTTATCTTTCATGTACAGAGTGGATAATATAGGAGTGATAAAAAAAAAATAATAACAAATATTTAATAGAAAAATATAATAAAATGTAATAAAATTTATATTTCCGGTTTACTTGATTAGTGCATGATCGGATCTACAAAATTAATCATTTGACCATTTAAAGTAGTTTCATGAAAAAGAGTAGTCGTTATTAAAAAAATAATAAAATGTTTTAGTTCTAAGGATTAATGAATGAGAGTTATGATATCCGTAGTTAAATAAAAGTCTAAGTCTCACATAAAATTTTTGTTGACTTTTAGATGCTAAGAATTGGGACACTAAGAGATTCTATGAGTTTGTTTTTGTTTTTCATAATTGTTGTTGGATAGTAGCCTCTAATATATTAATGCTAGTGTCAATTATGAATATCATATTAATTTTAAACCGTTCGATTCACGTCAAATGCTTCAAGAGAAATAGGTAAAGTGATCAGTCTCTGTGATGAGGGTGTCACGAAGTTGGGTGCAAGAAAATGTCACAAACTTATGGAAGAGTCCTGAATTCCACATCCAACGTAATAAGAAGGTTACTGGAGTATAAAAGAATTCACACCATCTCTTCATTGTAAGACGACTTTTGTAGGATAAAATCGTGAGATCAGGGGCCAGAGCGAATAATACCTCACAAGGGTGTGAACCGTGACAAATAGGTTGATTTGAGACTTCGGATGAGTGGATGTCAGGGTCCCGAAGTCGCGCGAATTCAAAGCTTAAATCTTGATCCATGACAAGTGGTACTACTTGAATTTATGTATTTGTGTTGTATTTATTTTATATAAAATATAAAAATTATTATATTAAATTCGTATCAATATATTAAATATAAAATTTTTAATTTTATCAAATTCATATATAATTTTTATTAAAATTTTAAAAATTTTATTTTATATCATATTATAATATTTAAAATTATAACAAGATTACTTGTTGCTTCCACGTAATGAATATGATATGTGTTTATAAGACAAACTCTAAGAGAACAGTACAGTTAGCATACTGATCTAGGCATAAATTAATTAGTTACGCTTTGTTTGGCTGTTATTTTTTCTTTTTTTATTAAAAGAAGAAAAAATGGAAAAAAAAAGAAAAAAAAAAGAGAGTTTCATGAGGGGGAGAGGGTATTACTACCTGCAATATGAGCCAAACAAATGTAGCTAATTTGGAAGATTATGGACAAATTCTACGCCAGCTAGCCAACTGCAGGCTGGCTGTGGAAGACGTGCTAGTTGTTTTCTCTTCATTTTGTAAAAGATTTAAGAGCCTCATGCCCTCATGTGCTCGACCTGTTCTCCTATGACAGAAAAAAGGTTTTATTGGCTGTAATAATGGCAGCAAAGGTACTAACTCCAGTAATGTCATGCACCGAAATTATTCAGGACCAATTAATTGACATTGAGAGCTTGTTTTTGACAGTTGATGTTCCAGTCCAGTAACAGCTTTATCAATCACAAACTACTACAACACACACAATGTCCAATAACTTGTTCATATCTCAATTCATAAACTTTTAACAGCAGCTCCAGTTCTATAATTTATTGGTAAAACCCTTTTAATTAACAGGCCTGTGACGGTCGCTTGTTGTGGGTGATTACTTGGTAAACAACCAACAATTGAAGAATTTTAAGAGCTAGCTTCATGTATCACATTATTTAGTCTTATTCCAAATCTGGCCTTTCTGCTTGGCATCTCTTGAGATAAGGTTAAGGATATGGGACAAACTCTTCAGATTCTTTGTTTGCGTC